CGTCAGGTGTTAGTGGTCCACCGTGGTCCCTGGCAACGCCCAACAATTCTTGCATCATCCATCCCTGCCGTCTACCACAGCTTCCTTGCTGGTCCATGCTGCTTATACCTATAACCATCCCATATTGTAATTTTCTCCGTCAGTTGTGAATTGAGGTTTTGTTAAATCTGTTGTACACACGATGAGGCAACATGATTCGATATCATTTTTACAGTAATGATAGAACTATACATAATTATAAAAAGAATTGTTTTTTTTCAACCATGTTCTGACGTGCTCTGCATACAGGACTTATTGTTGTCAAAATAATGGAGTTTCGAAGAGTGAACTACATAGTGTATCAAGTTTGGTGATTTAACATGTTTGTTGAATTAACCAGAACATGGCGCACGGTTACCTGCAGGCACGACTGCTAACCTGGTTATAGTGGATTTGAATATTGATGCTATCCGCTAAAAATTGGTTAGAACAATGAGAGGGGTGGCAGCAGGGAAGGGATTCTTTGGTGGGGGGGGGGGGTTGATGCCGGCTAGGTTATTGATCAGTAGGCGATGTGCGGTGTGTGTGTGGGGGGGGGGGGGGGGTAAGGGAGCTACTTTCTTTTGAAAGTAAATTAATGACTTGAGAACATCGCTCCCAAGTCATAACGTAAGCCTAAGAACCCATTTCAAGCATAAACACGAGTGACTGTTGCTACAAAACATTCTGACTCTTTACTAAGGGACACCATTCATATGAACTGTTGTGGTTTTGTGAACGAAGTGATTGTCACTTGGTCAGTCGGGTTAAGCATCGTTGGATCTGTCAGCGACTGGATGGGTGACCTATATTTTAGCCAAAGCTGTGGTGGGTGGTAGGGGAGCGGACATGACCAGAGTTATGAGAAAAGATTGTTTATCACTGGACACGAAACTTGTCACTTAAGCAGTCACTTTCCTGTGCCGTCTAGGTAAGTGTCAAGACGGTGATCCTCCAGGGTGTGTTCGTGGATACACATAATCGAGTTGCCCACATACAGGCACTTGAGGCTCGGGCAACATAATTGCGAGGGAGAAATTTGTTTGCCTGTTTAGCACACCAAAATAATGACTTGTGTGACAACAGCGACAATGGGAGATGCAGATACAGAATTTTAAAAATTAATTGAAAAAATTAAAAAAAATTAAAAATTTTAAAATTTGAATATCTTTAATATGGATGATAAACTTATCCATAATCAAAACTTGTATCGTTAATATGGCAAACCATCCTTCTCAAATGGTAGTACTTACGACTAAATAGTTACTGTATGTAGTGATGGACCACCAAAAATTTCTTTCTATACATCCTGAAAACAAAACTAGACAAAATTTGAACATTCCTAGGCATAGTATAATATATATGCTACATTAGGCCTAAGATAGCGCATATTAGGCCTAGAACTGCTCGAAGTGGTTAGGTTGGGTCTATATTGTGGTTAACAAAAAAAAAATAGCATTTGGCCAAATTTAACATACAACGTCAACTTTTTGATGATCGTTCACTATATTGGTTCTTAAGACCAAACAGCTACTGCGAGTACTATAATTTTAGGCTGGGCTATAATATCGATATTGAAAGACCCAAAGGGTGAGAATTGTGAGAACTCTTTAGAATTGTTTACGTATTTCAAAACCAGACTAACATAAGCCATCGGCGCAAATTATAGAAGTGATGCAAGTTTTGTGGTAGGTTTAAAAAAAAAAAAAGGAAGAGTTCATCGCCAAACTTGTTATATTAAGTGTGTGTGTGCTTTACGCGCTATTTGATGGGCGTTTACATAGGCCTATTCCGATTTTTGTGAGAGGGGGATGATGATAGATGATCCATGAAACCACCCACACCTGACACTCGAAAGCACTATTTTCATAAAACTGAAGGTATATTGACACGTGTTATAATCGTCTAATCAATTATTGTATTTGGTCAAGGTTGACTAGACCACATGGACGGTCTTTGTATCTAGTGGAAGGCACATGAATGTAGTAGCTTGTCATGCATAAAGGATTAAACAAGAATTCAAACATTATGCCAAAGGTAGAATGTGTTTTGGTAGAAAGTTTAGAATACAATTCCCGTTGTCAAGGACAGAAAGCTTGTACTGTCCTCCAGTTTATCGAGGTTCCACCCCAGGTTACTTAGTTACTTCATGATATAACTCTAAATAGTCATAAAGGGATTAGAAACTATGTAAGGATCAGGTTTAAAGAACACTTGTGTGATCAATTTAAATGTATGCAAGTTATTTCTCTGAAATGGTTCTCTTGGTAATTGTTTCATGTTTTCTACTCGACGAAAAGTTGTTTTGCTTAGTTGAAGTTAAATCTTTTTCTTATAATTTAGTCATTAAGTCGTTTGTGTGTAATAGATTTTTTCCAATTCAAGATTGTCATACCTCTACTGTTGATGATTTCCGATGTCTTCGAAATAGCTTAGTAGACTAGTAGTGGACTTTGTCAGCAACTTACAAGTTTCATAGAAGCTGGAACTCTGATGTGGGCAACGAGGTGTGGATAACACTAAATGCAGATATTACGAATTATGCTTTGGGCCATACAGTACATGAAATGTACTCTCGTATATGTATAGTACATAAATACTAAATACTCGTAATGTATAGTACATAAAATGCACGCTCTCGCCCTTGTTATCTCGTTGAAGAAAAAATATATATGAGCTACGGGCAGTGATTGTCAGGTCATGCCTTGGCAAGTGATGCCAGTTTGACAGGAATTTTTGCAATGACGTTAATGTCACAGGTTTTATCATTTTTTTCACGTGTACTTGTTCAAATAGATATTATGAGGAGCCATGTTTGCTGGTGGCCGTGTTCTCGGTAAGTTGACAAAGACTTTGGTGATAGTGCACTCTTGTGACGATCCAGAAGGCAGTTAATTAATGGAACTTAATTGGCAGTGCCAAAATTGTTCCTCTGGCCGAAGTATTAGAGACAGTGTTCCATTTTCTAGAGGTGACGTGTGGGTACCTTTGTGCCAGAGTCTGTCTTCAATTTTACAAGGAGCACGCCGAGCCAAGGTGGTTAGGCTAGATTAATATATTTACACTGCACAAATTGTCTTAAGCTGGAAATAAAATTTATTTAGTTGATAATATAAAAAGGACTTTGTTTATACAGTGACAATGACCTCGTTGTAATTGACATTGTCAATCTTATGCATGTCTGTAGAAGGGTAAAACCCTGGATATCTTAAGTGTTTTCTTAATTGTATTTATAACATCTCTACTTTTCAGTGGATCTATCTTATCACTCGTGTATATCTCGCCTTTATCGTAGGAGCGAACCCATCACAAACAAGTGACCTTGCTGAAAATGTGTTTACACGTGAAATGGGTAATGAAGTCGTTAAGACTGTATTGACGAAGTTCCAGGTGGATGGGATCGAGTGTTAACTTAGCTCACATCCCCAATCCGCCAGAATTTAATTATGCAAGTTGCGTGTATCATAAGGAATTTTAAAAAAGCCAAATAAATAAATTTTTTGTAGCATTTTCGTAACCCATACTTGGAATTTTTTTAAGTTAAAAGGTAATTTTTTACAACAAGAATGATTTCTCCCTTCATGATATGAACTAATTGAATGAAAATTAATATAACGTTGCATAGTAAAGGTGTGGTAGGGTGCCAAGTGGACCACACAGTTAGGGTGGCGACATTCAGAAGCTGCAGACTTGTGTACAGGAGCCAGCCTCAAGGCCAGTTTTTTCCTGACTGGGGGAGTAGAACGTACCCATGTTACATCACCCCTATAATACTATTTCTATATTCAATTTTTGTCGATAAAATAAATCGATTGGCGATTTTAAAACTTAACCAGGATTACGTTCAGCCTAATTTCCATTTCACTTATTTTAACACACCAAGAACGTTTATTTCCAGTAGTGCACAAAGCCTGGCTGTTGTTTTTAGATTTAGCTACTCTGGATTAAAATTTCCATGTATGGTACGTATAGTATGGTCGCCGTACTATAAAATAGATATAAATTCAATAGAACGCGTCCAGCGTAGGATGACAGTTAATCCCCCAAATTAGAAACCTATCATATGCAAAAGCTGCAGATTTGACAAAGGTTAAATTACATTCTCTAGAAAGGCGAAGAATTAGGGGTGACATGATTGAAGTGTACAAGTAGATGAACAGTAACAGGGTTGATTTGAGGAACCAATTACTGCGTAACGTGAAGATGAGGTCCCTTGATTGTTTAAAGCGTGGGTTGGACATGTATATATATGTGGGATTGGGTGATTATAAATAGAAGCTGCCTCGTATGGGCCAATAGGCCTTCTGCAGTTACCTTTATTCTTGTGTTCATATGTAGCACGGGCTATAGTGAGCCCGTAACAAAACCTGGCGGCTGGCAGCGCTGCATGAGGCTTCACCGATTTGTTTTCTGGGCGAATGTACATGTTAATTTATAATGTATTATTTTGGAAAGTTCAGTGGATGAGCCTAGCAAACTTGTTTGTCGTGATTACCCGTGACGAGCCGTTGCCGATATCATTAACTAAAAAAAAAGTCTCGTTGCTTGAACCTTTTTTCCGTACCTTTGATAAATGTTAAATTAATCACTTTTTAGGCTATCCAATAGTATGTTTTGCTTCTGGCTGTCTTTATCCAGTTATGTTTCCAGAGTTCCTTTAGTCCTAGTGCAACCCATTGTATAGATAATTGTTATAAGTTAGTGCACGATAGGGGAATTCTTGGTTTGGGAAACCCGGGATATCCGTAAATCTTCGTGCATGGTCACATAACTGGAATTCTCATAACTTTTGAAACTAGCCTGCATTGTGTACTGTATGTATTGACTGTGTGAAAATTAAACATGTGTTTTGTCCTTTGGGCGACACAAGTGGATACTAGTGATTTTGAGAGGGTATTTGGTTTGGTGGCGCGGTGTTCCAGGATTGTGAGCGTGGCGGGGGAGTGGAGGCACTGACAAGGCGCACGCCGGCCAGTCTCGCTGGCAGTCGCTCCTCACAGTCCAATGTAGGCTGGCGTTCCCTCCGGCCCTCCGCCCTATACGCGGGCACTCACCATACAGTCCAACACATAGTTGAAGAGCTGGGAATACTTCTTATGGCTCTGGACTTTGTGACCGTCATATTGACGCAGAGTAAAGGCCGCCTTCGACCGACTGAGAAACACTACTGGAGCGTTTCACGGTGGCACTCAGGGCTGGAGGCGACAGCCTTGCAGTCACCAGCCAGCCACTCTAGGGTTATTGTGCTTCAGAGTCACTTGTGTGTTTAGTACTGCTCGGTGCGGGCAGTAAATGATGGCTGTGTTGGTAGCGAGAAGGTAGCAAAAGTGTCAGATTATAGTGCCTGTTGTTTATACTTGGCCGGTTTGATTTGTCTTCGTTGATGCAAGTTCAGTCGTGGTGGTGAGTGACGACCACTGGCTAGCAGGTAATTTACTGTGATCCACAAGTGCCGCAACCTACCGTAAAGCTTTGCTGCTGTATAACTGCAAGTGATAACTTCACCCCTCCATCTCTTCCTGCTGCTTATGGCAACATGTGTTCCTCCATCAACACCTCCCGCCTCGTGCTGCTCATCACCCAAAACACTAAACAGTCGTTCAGACACCGCGTTATCACCGGAGCATCTCGCTACCGACACTTGCCCACAGGAAAGAAAAGAGACGCTTATCAGGCGCTCTGCCAAAGATCTTCTCCCCGGCATGTGTTCTCCGGAAGAAGCAGTGTCTCGGACTCCCATTCTGCAGGACTTGACGCTTGGCGACGAAGACGATGACAACGTGGACGTCATCTCGGATGTGGCTGCCGAGCTACTTGCTGACACCATAGACTCAATCATCGAACTGTCCAACTCCCTGGCGAAGCTCATCATCTTTGAGGAGGACGACGGGAGGCCGTGTATCTGTACCAAGTATGTGGTATGTGTGGGTGAGGGTAGGAAAGTGCATGCAGTCTGCCTAGGCTATCATTGTCCCTGGCTGTACTCTGCCTCGTGTGTGTAATTGAGTATAGACTATGCACTTAATTTGTTTAGATATGCACATACCATAGCTACTCAGTATTGCACATAGTGCTTGTGAAGGACAGGATGTTAGGATTTACACCAGAGACCAATTACAAGGACATGGTTGTCATTCATCGCCAGTATTTTTTAGTTTTAATAAATCGCAATCCAGACACTTGTCTGGCAAGTGATGCGTTTTACAATAGTCCATTGCCACACTTATTGGTCTTTGATTGACATTGTAATTTATGCAATTTTGCGCAGTATGGAGATGATAAAAGGTACTGTTCATTTAACTAGTTACCATCTTGATGCTAACTTAACAGTTCATGTTGAGTAACGCACATGTCCGATTTGTCATTTTGCAGGTTAATTATTATTAGGTTTCAATACTTTCTTTTGTGGATGTTAGTTGCAATCGTGGTTGTCAGAATGTAGCTCCTGGGCCGCTCCTTGATGTTACAGCCGCTTCCTTCCACTGCTGGGTTGCCCTAGCCAGATGTCCTCGAGACTGTCTGGCTGACCTTATGACTGACAAATCAGGTCTTGGGAGGTCTTGGATATATAGTTTCCTCCTCTGGTACTGTGCCAATTTATTGTTGGGAACCTTACTTGTAGACCTAATGTTGATATAGGCCTCGGTTAAGGCCGCACATGTGATAGCCGTCTCCCACGACCACTGCGCAAAGAGTGAGCTCTTAGATACTTCCGTCAATGGTAGCCTCCAAGGAACTAGTTTATTTTAGCTCTGGCGCCGATATAACTTATATATCGACGACTTGGTGTATCACGAAGGGAAAGCTTACAAAATGTCAAAATTCTGGAAATTTAAATTTTAGCCTAAATAAAATGATCTTAAAATGTTTGTGTAGGGTTGAATATTTCATTGTTACTTCATCGTGTGCAAGTCCTATTCTCTCACCTGGTGTAGGTTCCTCTACTATATTTGGTGAAGCTATTCAGATGAAAGCTGTAGGCTTACTAGGTAACTCGCCATAGTGTCTTTCAACAAATTTGGACGGTTACGCTGCCCTTTCCCTATTCTACCCCCCCCTCCCCCCTCCCCCCTCCATCCCTCCATCCCTCCCCCCCTCCCCCCCACTTCTGCAGTCATCTTGTCCTGGACACTTGATATTTAATACAGTACAGTATATAAAAAAAAACTGTAGAGCTTTTTCTTGAACTTGGATTTTTGTTTCCCAAAGCTATAATATTATTTAGGGTTGTGTGTGAGAATATGTATGTATGTGAATGTGTGTGTCCACAATTACCTATTAACTGGTAATTGAGGTTGTCTTCGTAGCCTGAAGGCCCACATAATCATCATAGCCAGGCTGATCCGGTCCCTCCAGTAAAAACTTGTCCAGTTGTCCCTAGAAAGCTGTGTATACATTAGAGGTTCAAGACTGTTAAAATAGTCTTGAACCTCTAATGTATACACTGTTCTCTAATTGTGCTTAGGAGAGGCACAGTCATCGATCAGGAGGCCTGGTCGACGACTGGGCCGCGGGGACGCTAAGCCCCGGAAGCACCTCAAGGTAACCTCAAGGTTAAGGTATTCCACCCCCCCCCCCGGCTTTTCATAGGATTTATTTTGCACTTTCTACCATATATCTCTCTGCATTGGTAGTTTTATTGTGTATGCTTAGATCCTTCCCTTCTAATATATTCCATGTGTATCTTATGAGATCTTTCTCGTCTTTATTTTGAAAGAGTACAGTTTAGTATTTTGTGTTGGTCCCAGTAGTTTAAATGCTTCACCAGTTCTATGAATGTAGTGATGATTTCTGGACACTTTCCAGCTCTGCAAGCTCGCCTGCCTTGAAATTAAAGGAATCGCGAGGACTGAACACTATTCCCTACGAGATAGCACCAGTATCTGATTACTATAGAGTATAGTAATTTGTGTGGCGTCCCTTTTGAGAGTTGTTTATTCATTTTATAATTTTCCTGGCTGTTGCAATGTTTGCATTGTTGTGATCTATGACATATCACGATAAACTTTCCAAGAGGCTTAGCCTACACTGACGCCAGTACTCGTCTACGGGAGTGATATAGAGGAAACCCGAGTCGTTGGAATGATACTGTTGCAAAACAATGGGAACCGTGTGTCGAATTGATGCACTCCCGATAAATTACATTTTGGTCGTCGTTTTATTTATGAAGGGGTTTCATTTTCCGAGCGACCCTCGCATGTCCTGCAACCCATGCCACAGCCACCTTCACCCAACGAAGAAAGTACAAAAGCAATATCTTCAGGATTTGTAATAGCCTTAGGTGTAATATAAAAAAAATTCCAAATACAAATTAACTGTTTATAATGCATGTGTACTATACTTAGTCACAGATTAGCGCAATGTGTGTGACACATTAATTTGGGGGTGTATACAGTACGATCTGGATGTGAATAGCACATTGCGTCATAGCTTCGAACATGGTTAGTTAGGCTGAACAAAAGCGCATATTATCGATTATTGGATTGCAGTATAATCCGTGTTTTGTACATAATGATGCAAAAATCATCACGTTGGATGGTTAGTCATACATTTGTGCCTATCATGTGTCGAGGCAAGGTGCAGTAATATCAAATTTAAACACGGACATCAGACCGGAAATAAAGATAGTACATAGTATGCGGGTCTACCAGGAGTTTTACGGTGTAATTCATAGTCTTCCCAGAGTCCATTAACTGGGGGAAAAATTTGATAATTCTTGTGCCTTATAGTCGTCATGGCTTGGCGTTTTCCCCCTGATAATTCCCTTCTCTTCCCTTCCCATTTAAAATTCAAGCACCAACCTAACATCTTTAGACCTATCTTGGATACAAGCTGCCTAACCATGAACACAAACCCGCACGCTTTCCTACCTCATAGCATGGCAAGAAATAACAGGTTAATGCACAGGTGGACAACTCGATGAGTTCAAGATTATAGGAGTGTTTTCATTGGCTAAACGAGGTTAGTCTCGGCGTTGTAGGTTCAAACGGAACCGTTTAAGTGGCTCTGCGTTTACTTCGTAGGCACTTCCTTTGAATATAGAGAATAAAAGTGGTGTTGTAGGTGTGCAGCAGACGGCATACATCTCACTAGTTGATTGACAGTTGAAAGCCAAAGCTCACTCCTTCCCCCCCCCCGGCAAGCTTACGTGATCACTATATCCCGTGCTACATGGATGTTTCGTCCCGAGTAGCCAAATAACCCCCCCCCCTCGCAAGCACAACTAGGCGAGTACATTATCATGCAGTCTAACCTGGGTCGAGCCAGGCCCAAGGCCGGGCTCGGGGAGTAGAACTCCAAACACTCTGCAGGTTATGTATAGGTGAGCCTGTCGACTCGGTGCCTGCACTAACTTGTCAGGAGTGTATTTTGTATATTGTAACTTCAACACAATACTCTTATTCGGGGGCTGGGGGAGGGGGGGGGTAAGAATTGTTAGGCTAAGAGATTTCTTCTGCTGTGGAAAAGTAGCCTAGAATCTCCTCTGGGGGGGTTACCTTATCTTGCAGTTACCCAGGAGTAATTCCCAGGGTCGAAGTCCCTTGCGGCCCGGTCTCTGACCAGCCCTTCTGCTTTAGGGGTTTGGTCAACCAGGCTGTTGGAGGTGGTTGCTCGCATCCTGACGTATAATTCCCAGCCTAGTTGATCAGATAGCCTTTAGAGGTGGAGACATTTATAAGAGTTCTCTTGAACACCGTGAGAGGCCGGGCAGTTATGCCCCTTAGGTGTAGAGGGAGAGTGTTGAAATGTCATAGGCCTTTGGTGTTGATAATTCCTCTCGGCGTGAAATATAGGCTGGTAGTGTTGACATTTTGCTTTATATCGAATCCAGCCTGTGTTTTAAATGTGCCTCCTAACCCAGAAGTGATACGTTCGCCGTACCTCCGAGGCACTTCCTAAATCAGAGTATAATTACCCTTATCTTAGTGAAGAATTATTAAGAAAAGAACAAGGTAACTGCAGAAGGCCTATTGGCCCATTGAGGTGAATATATTGCTGCACTGTCACAGACGTATTAAGTGGGATGAGGGAGAGGTTGAGCTGCATCCATCATTGTGACCTCCTTTTCCGCGGGCCAGTGAGTGCAGCAGCAACAGCCGGGAGTGCTGCTGGTGCTGTATTGACCCGGGAGCAGCAGCAGCAGCAGCAGCAGCAGCAGCCCGCCCCCTCCAACACCCACCCTCTCAAACTGCGTCATCAACATACCTGTCCTGAGGTTGCGATTGGTGTTGGGGATATGGCCTATCACCCCACGTGCGGGGTTAAGGTCACCACAGTTGTTTACTTATCAACTATAGTCCAGGACTTGAGTTAACTAAAGTGTTTATTCATAGAGAAGCGGGATACACTGTTTTTTTATGGAGGGGGGGGGGTTATAGTGCTCACACACTAGACGTACCTTACCGGTGTTAGGACATACTGTAGAACTTGCTAACAGTACCAAGTTCTCTAGAGTATAGTACTTCAAATGTATCCATCTAAGCCTATAGGTGACATAGCTTGGCACCTATAGGCTTAGTTACGATGATTTTTGTTAGGCTCTAGAAAATGTCTGGCGATTGTACAATAATTCTACAAATTTTAGAATAGTTCAACAGCTCCATAGCTCAATATTAACACTAGACAAATTGTGATCACGACGAAGTAGATGACGTAGTCAGCTTAAGGAGACAGGTTACCTATACGCTATTGTTAAACTGTGTCTGTGCAATATCAGTCATGCTCAATACGAGAGTAACAGCAAGTCCAGACACATGGGTTTCGTTTGAAAGTACTGCAGACTGCCACGGCTGCCGACGTCACAAGGTCACTCGGCACCATGACAAGCAAGATCCCATCCAACGCTTTCTCTCGAGGTCCCAATCCCATCTGGGATTATTTTTGTACGGACAGGATTGAAGATTGATAATGCGGTGTGCTTTTGTTTGGGATATGGTATTGTTGGTCTTGGATGTTAGTCTTGGATGTTAGTCTCTCGCCTTTAACGTAGATCTTATGTACCCCTCAACCTGACACAGGGCCTCCTCCCCCCCCCCCACTCGCTTACAAGTTGACCTTGTTGGAGCCCTATTCGCTTGCAAGTTGACACTATTAGAGCCCCACTCGCTTGCAAGTTGACCTTGTACACACCTCAGCGCTTGCCCATTGACCTTGTGCACCCAACCCCCTTGCTCGCTTGTTGAACTTGTGCTCAGCCCGTGCTCGCCCTTTGACCTTGTGCACCCTTTGACCTTGTGTACCCTTTGACCTTGTGCACCCTTTGACCTTGTGCACCCTTTTGACCTTGTGCATCCCGCTTGCTCACCCATTGACCTCGTGCATCACCACCCCTCATTTCCCATTTACCTCGTGCACCCTTTCTCCTCTCCTTCTTTGACCTCGAGCACTATGGCTCTCCACCACTACCACTTGCAGACCCATTGACCCTGTGCACCCCCATCTTTGTTCACTCTCCTGCATAAGTGTTAGCCCCGTGCTCCTCGCTCATTTGCACACCCATTGGTAACCCATTGACCCATGGGTTACCAATGCATCCCTTGGCTTACCCATTCATTTCTCCTCAATGCACTTCCTCAGTAGTGTACTTTTTAAAGAACCAATTAGATAAGTTCTTGTAAGAAGTGCTGGAGTAACTGGGCTGTAGTGGATATGTGGGCCTACAAGCGGCAGCAATCAACTGCCTGTTGAACCAAGTTATCACAAGTCAAGCCTGGCCCTAGGCTGGGCTCGGAGAGAAGAAAAACGCTTGAGACGCACATCATCTCATTCCTGCAGCCATTACCCTTTTGCCTTCTCCTTGACTACCTCTTCCCTCCTGTCTGCCTCTCACTTTGTCCTCCTTTTCCCTCGTTCTTGGTTTCCCTTCCTGCCAAAACACGGTAGGTCTTGTCTTTATCACTAAAATTGAGAACATATATTTTCTAAACTTACTTAGGCTCCAGCATTAGACAACGGCTACAGAAGTAATGGTAGCTTGCCCGAATTTGAATGGAAATATTGTACATTACAGTACTTTTTTTTTTAGCTTGAAAACAGCAGAATATTTATTTGGAAGAAACAGAATTTGAGATTTTACTCAACAGACCCGTTTCGAGCATTGCGCCTTCCCCCCCCTCCGAAAAAAAAAAATTGCTGGAATTGTCAATCTGTTTTCGTTCTAGTACTTGTAGGTATTTTAAACTTTTGCTGAAAATTACACCATTGCTTTTCCATAATATTTGTAGGATTCCATTACATTTGTTGGGCTAATTAGGTTTGGTACATTTCAGGTTTGTGGTGGACAGTTTATTGACGAGACTAATTTGTTATTCTCAATCTCGGTTATTGCATAAAATTTGCTGAAATTCAGTAAAGGTTTAGTGTATCTTGAGTCCCTGTTTGAAATTAGTCCATGAAACACAATATGAGATGTTAGAGGATTTCCAGTTGTATTTTTACACAGCTAGTTATGAGGCAAGTCTGGAACACGGGTACAATATTCTCAACCTTGAAAAGCACTGTTAGTTTTCGGTTTTATATAGCATATGTATCGACCATTCCCAATATTTAGATATTTTGTTTTGAACCTGCATTATTTGTTCTGGTTATTCGCAGTGACAAAGTGGTTGTTTAGATAGTCATTAGCATTGTGTAATATACTAATAAAGTACTGTTGGTAGCTTTTATTGGCAACCAGTTTGAAGAGTTGTTGGTTAGGTCTGCTGGTATGTTGGTGGTATTGAATATATGGAAGAGACTGCTTCCGTATTGCTCCTTGTTTATTCTCCGATGTTTCCAGCCGAAGCCCAGATTTCTCGTTTTATAGATAATGATGAAAATCGGATAGGATTTATTTTACTAATTTACATACTCGCATTATACTAAAGCTTATTCCTACATAATTATGCTTGCGTTCACCTGGCTTTATGTCCATACTAACATTGCCTGTTTTTTTCTGCTTGGGTTACAGAATAGTGTAAGTGTTCGGCATGTGGATAAGCCATGATGGTGGCGTGAAGTTGAGGAAACGAGAGGAGGAGATTAAGAGGGGCGGTACATGTATCTTAGGCACACCTTCATTTGTTACTTTAGTGGATGTCAAATGTTGTAACTGGTGTTTGCCTGTGTCCCTAAACTGTACCTTCCCCTATTGTGGGTCTGAAAACCCGTAAAATGCACAACCCAGAGGCTTAGCACGTGTAAGTCATTAGGGGGAAACAAGTGTTGGCTGGCACTGTGCATCAAGGTGAGTATTGATGTCTGCTGTGATGTATCTGTGTGCAGCCAGTTGTCCGAGTTTTATGTGGGGAAAGTTTCCTGCAGCCGTAGACGTGGCGCCACATCTAGAATGTGATATGAAGATTTGGCCAAAGTGCAATTAAATGCTGTATTTCCCCACAGCAGGCACCCGTTTACAGTTTTGTCTGGCGCATCTCTCTAACCCTACTCACAAGCTGGATATTTCCTGTATGTTAGTCATTTTGTATAGACCTGCTTATAGGTGTATAGATGTACTTAGTCGTTGCTTAAAGTATAGTTTCGAAAATGTATGGCAGAGCACAAGTGTATAGGATGTAGCCTATTGGCTGTGTTTAGAGTACAGTAGTATTTTCCTATAAATATGATGTGTGCTGTATATTTATAGAAGTATTTGTGTACTGTGTATGTATATACTGTACTGTATATAACATCTTTTAGTTATTTTGAAAATATCGCCAAAATAGTGCTAAAAGCTGTGAACCTTGACAACTTGATAGTTAGTCGGGAGACATTCCTTAGTCAGACTTGTGTAACATTTTTGCCAAGTTGTCATAAGTACACAGAACACTATACGTGGGCTGTTTGCACCCCCATGTATAGCAGGTGTTGATGCTTTTAGATTCCTGATGAATAAAGCAGTAGAACTGCAGCAATTAATGGGAATTATTGGGTGGAAGTAAAATATAAGATTGAATTATACTAAAGTGTAATCATCATTTATGAATAAGTTGAGAATTTAGAGAAAATTTAGACTATTATGTAACAGCCTAATCATATCAGATATGTGGATGAAAGAGCAGTTGATGAAATGTTAGTTATCAGAATGACTTTTAAATAACTTTTAGATGTGAAGGGGAAACGTATTACTCTGATTTGATGTATAGACACCTGTAAGCTCCTGGAGTAAATAAATGCCTGAATACCAGTAGTCTTACCTTCAGTTTTATTTGCATAGGGATGTAAAATAAAAACAAAATGAGGCTGTAGGCTGTAGGGAATGTTAAGATCAGATATGTAAAATACCCGTGGTATGGAAATCGTGGATTAAAAAGTGGGTACTTTGAAGTTCATGCTAAGTTGTTAAAGCTGTTTAACAGGGTTATGTACAGTAATAACAATGGTAAGGTAAATTGCAGTGGGTAGGGTAGGGAAACAGGTGGAGTTGAGGATTAATGAATAGGTGGAAGGTCGTAGTGAACTAGGCTACAGAACAGGTGGAGAGGGGCCAGTAAGCAGTTGGAGCGTTAAGGACTGAACTTGTGGTTTGCCTTTTTAGACTTAGATCATGGGTAAGAGGTATATATAAATCATTGCATTATAGTAATACAGTACCTGAGCCATGTGCACAGGCTCCATATAAACCAATGTATCAATAAACTACTTTTGTGTTTTGACAGCTGGGATAGTGCTGCTCTTGTAAGGTTTATTCTAAACATGCTGGAGATGTGTATATAAATAAGTAGTTTTAGCAGTTAAATAGCACTTTTGAGTATACAGTATTACAAAGATACATTCTTCTTCTTTACAGAATGGACAAAGATGGCACATTAGACATAAGCTTTGATGAGTGGAGAGACTACCTGCTGTTCCATCCATCAGCAAATCTTCATGATATTATCTTGTACTGGAGACATGCCACAGTAAGTGTTTTTAAGATAGTCCAGACAATATGGAATGTTTTAATTTGTTTTTTCTTATTCATCATGTAAATTGAACACACTACCTCTCACTCCCCTCCCCACCCAGAACTTCGAGGGACCCTGTTTGTTTCAAATATAAATTATCACAAAAAAAGACCATATTAAAAGTATCACATTGAAAACTCTCAATACCATTGTTCCCTGGTCTTCCCTCTACACTACCAGTTAGAAGATAGGAGAGAATCCTTACAAGATTGATGATTTGAATATTAGATATTTAAAGTTTGCAGACACCACCTGCTCCAGTTGCTGAATGTGATGCACTCTTACTGTAGGGCCTGTGTCTTGTCAGAGGTCATGTGGACAAGAGTAGAGTGCATGGCATGCATTACAAATTGTTAAAATGGGGTCATCATTTATAAAGTTTCTTAATGGTAATTAGGAGCACAGTGTACTGACAACAATATTGAGAAATACAATGAGAAGCATAAATGCTTATTTGTAGATAATTTTTCCAATGTAAAGGCTTCAGTTTTGAAGCTCTTACAGGCAATTAAATTATGTACAATTGAGTCAACTCCCATTTTGGCGTTTCTCTATATTCTAAGTTGTAAAACTATCTTATAAATGGTGCAGTAGAATACACTGCTCGCTAAGAAGCTTACCTTGATTTTGGTTCACAGCATTGGGGAACTTTATAGCTCTGACACTGGGCTATGCACCAAAACATCAATTGCTAGAACTCGAAGCTGAGTGAAGTCAGTCTGATGATGATAAAGCAACATCCAGTGGAATGAAAGGCCCCTTTCTAAGTGGCACTTTGGTAGCTTGCCTGAGCTGTGGCACTGGGGCCTCCTAGGTTACTTCTAGTATGCCAAACCTTGAACAACGGGGAGCTTCACGAGTCCAAGTTGCCTCCTATTCCTCGGTGATCAACTGCTTGCTATGCTTCCCATAACATTTCAATCTCAGAAATTGCCAAAAATTTTGAATTACAAAAGTTACCCTACTGAAGTATGCAGATCCACCATGTGGCAGCACTAATGGACAATGGAGTTAGGGGAGGAGACTACTCTCACTTAGGTCCAGCTGACCAGAGTGAACTCTGGTAAGATGGGAATTAATGGGCAGGCCTCAGCAACTACAGAGTTGCTACTCAAAAAAGGAAGTAGTCAGCCATTCAATGCTCCATTTCCGCGCAAGAGTTTCTCGGTAGCTTCACCAACCATTCTTCCCACAGTACTTTACCAGAGTGAAAAATGGAGTCATCCACCCTTAATTATAATTGCATGCCTGTTCATGATCATAGTCATGAATTCTTAATCTTTCAATGATTGATAATATCTACAATGTACCTTTAAGTAAAATATTGCAAGTACAGTACAGTATTCATCTTTTTAATTGAGAAGTGTTACTTTAATGTCTTAATTAATGTGGTCGAGACAACTTGCGTGTTATGCCACTTAACCATCGCTATGTTTATGGTCAGGATAAAAAAAAATTTAATCCGTACCCAGGGTGAGTTATTCATAATTCAAATCTTATCCAGGTTTAGTTATTTGTTGTAAATCTCTTATCAAGAGCTAATCGCACATTAAAATGGCACGTCACGTACGGTAATTGCATCTATTAACCTCGGTGGTCGAGCAACTTTGGTGCTCTTGTATACAGTACTGTGCTTGTAATTTTAGTCTTGAATATAGCAATAAGTTATTTCCTTTTTACTAAATAAATAGTTATAGAAATGTTGAGTGAATAAAACTGCTTGTGATCTATATTTTAAACCACCACGTTGAGGTAGGAGATTTGACCATTGTGTATGAAAGTGTTCTCAAGTTGAATTTTTTTCCACAGAACCTTGATGTTGGTGAGGATCTGGCAGTACCAGATGATTTCTCTCTAGAGGAGTGGTTGTCTGGTATGTGGTGGAGGCATCTGGTGGCTGGAGGAGTTGCTGGCATGGTGTCGAGAACTTGTACAGCACCACTGGACAGACTCAAGGTTTTCCTTCAGGTCAGTCTTCTTTATAAATACAATATTCTTCTTTATAAATAAATATATAAACATATAAATAATATGGTGGGAGAGAGGATGGGTGCGGAGAGTTGTATTTAAGCTTGCCTTCAGATGCAGCTAAAATATTCTCGGTACAAAGTAAGCCCGAGGGATATTCTTCATTTTGCAGACGTGTTTAAGATGATATTGCACCTACAATTATGTGGTATAACACTTATAAATATAGATTAACAATTTTCTTAAATAAAATTGTCATTGTCAAAATATCTGAGGAGGCTGGATACAATATTTTAAATTCTGTATATATAGCTTGATTTAGTTTTCTGTTGGGCTTCTCTCTGCTTCTGCAGTCTGTCTTGTCTGCATGTTAAGTTCTCATGCACTTCATTTCTGCTAAGTTTCATGAAAATTGGTTCCAGTATTTATTGTGGAGTCCATTCAAAATATTTTTTGAGTGACTGTTGTGCTCGTCATCAATGCTTCATAAAACTCAACTAAATGTGGAAATATTTTATTTGGTATTCATATTAAAACTATATTTTTGTTATAGATAACTGTTACAATTAAGTTATACAAGGTTATATGTACACATTCTTAATAGATGTTGATTTTCAGGTTCATGGAGCTAAACAATTTGAGAGCTTGGCCAAATGCTTCAAGTACATGTTGAAGGAAGGTGGTGTGCCATCTCTCTGGCGAGGCAATGGAATCAATGTATTAAAGATAGCACCAGAATCAGCATTAAAGTTTGCAGCATACGAGCAAGCCAAAAGAATGGTCCTTCAATTTGGCGGATGTAAAGAGAGAGAATTATCGATATATGAAAGATTTGTAGCCGGATCTTTCGCAGGTGGATTTTCACAGACTGCCATTTATCCCCTTGAGGTAAGTTTTGATTATGCTTGTCATAAATTGCTAATGGAAAAATGATGATAATTGTTGGAGTAGAAAACTTATGGTCATTCCAAAAGCATCATGGGTAGAGGAACTTACTAGCCATTCAAATGGGGCTGAAGTGTAATCATCAGACCCCCAGAGGAGAGCAGTTAGATGAAGTAGATCACTGTGTTTGCTGCAATATAATTCACACAATTTACACAAATATTTTGTGAATATTTTTTTCTCCATGCACTTATTGAATGTAATTTTAAAGTGATTTGTAGGGAAGAATCACAAGATTTTGTGCATATTACTACCGTACATATCTACTCGCTTGCTCTTTCACACTTTTTCTCTCTTTATAACTCTAAAACAACATTCTTATTTTTCCATTGGCCACCACAACCATAAAGAAAACACAGTTACGGGTGCATTGCTATTTGTATAAATCTAAATACAAACGCATTAACATTTATTAGTAGTTTCTTGTGTATAAAAAATTATAACTGCAGAAAACACCTTCACAGTATAATGTCCTGTGAGTCCCTGATACAGTCTCTCTTACCAGTTGAGAGCCCTCCATATGGTGTGAGTTACCATTTGCTGTACAATGGTACAGTGTATAATTTTTCTAAGATGACAACCATATATCCTCTTAAGGCCTGAGGGTTTTAAAATTCTTTACATTACTTTGCATTTTGTTTAAAGTCTGTCATGTTACCCTCTCCTGAAGTTTCTCTTATATATAATTAAAAAGTCACTTTAAAAGGCTAAAGGATAAAAATGGTTAATTTAAATAATCTAAAAGTAAGAATGTACACTTCAGTATATACCATTTGTGTGTTTAATATAATCCTTCTGGATTGTGAACATTGAATTTGGGATTTTGACCTTAAAAATGCAGTAATTATATTTCATCTTATTGCTCTCCTGTCTCTGGGCTGATAATGCTACACTATGTATAAGTGAGATAAGGTGGTGGTGATTACACACAATTAGTTGCTTAAATTAGAAAATAAAAATGTCTGAATCAGTGTACAGTATTTTTATGTACTATATGGCATCAATTTGTTACCTTCTTTAAAGCTTGTGTATACCGAGTGCTGATTAACTGATGTAAATTATATACAACATAAGTTATTGAAAAATAATACTGATGTCAAATATTGATATTTTCAGGTGTTAAAAACTAGATTAGCCTTAAGAAAAACTGGCCAGTATAGTAGCATATTTGATGCAGCCAAGAAGATCTATAGACAAGAAGGCCTTAGATCTTTTTATCGTGGTTACATCCCGAATCTCCTGGGCATTATACCATATGCGGGCATTGATCTTGCAATATATGAAACTCTGAAGAAAACATATGTGCAGCATCACAAAGATAATACTAATCCATCTGTGTTTGTCATAACGGCTTGTGGAGCATTCTCGTCGTCGTGTGGCCAGCTTGCATCTTATCCCCTGGCTCTTGTTCGTACGAGGCTACAAGCACAAGGTTAGTTTTTATTTCTAAGCTGCAGCTTTTATGTAAATCTTGTTAACATCTCATAATGGAAAAGTACTACTAATTTGCATAATATCACAGTAACATGATATGAGAAAATATTAAGGTCGTATTATAAGGGAGAACTCTCATTGCTACTACTAATTTATCCTGAAGCAAGTTTAAATTATTGAAAAATGATTCCAAATGGTATTCATTTGTCATTAAAGTTTATTATATGGATTGATATACATGTGAGTGTTCATGTTTTTGAGAGGTGAACATGCTGTCATTTACTCTAGCATATGTAATAGTTAGCTTTATAATGTAATATACAGTAAAGGCACTAAAGAGTTTGAGATATATATTTATTTACCCAATATTTTCTTGCAGTGATAGCTCCAGGTATGGTACACGACATGCCGATCACCATGTCAGGGCTGTTTCGACACATCTTTGCCACTGAAGGGGTGTTTGGGCTGTACAGAGGGATTACACCCAACTTCATGAAGGTTGCACCAGCTGTAAGCATCTCCTACGTGGTATATGAGAAATGTCGTCAAGCGCTGGGTGTGACTATGACATAATGCATCTGTTACTTCCATTTTTAAGTAAGGTCTTGTAAATTGGTCACGTTTAAAAAAATTGCCGATGGATATGTTTTGTTCTTCGCATATACAGGTACATAATAAAGATATGCGATAATTGTAAAATGCCTAAATGTAGAACTTGACTTGTGCAATATATTACATCGTGTTAAACATTCTAATCTCATAAATATATGTAAGGTTCCGTTGATTTCTATTAAATGATGATTGTGCTTTGAGAACTGACTTCTTGATTGGACTACTTTATTTAATGATGAGATTTAGTGTGTGAAATGCAACACAGATCTCGCATAATTCTACACCAATTTGATTTAGTAACATAAAACTGAGCCTGTGGATGCATGACATTTATAATTCATTTTTCTTAAATACATATAAGTGCCCAACATAGTTAAATTTATGTAAAAGTTTTTGAATTAGCAAAAGGTTACTGAGAATGGTTACTGTGTAGATCTTGTTACAAGATACTCACGGTTAAAGCAAGAATACGCGTTACTAAAATGTAATTTATATCAATTTTCAGTTTACAGTTTTCCTCAAACATGGCAAGAATGTTTCTTGCTCAGTTAACATTATCTTATAATCTTCATGCGTCATGCTAATATTTGTGGGAAAATGCAAGTAGAGGAAAGTACGCAAGTTATTTTATTATGCATTTAGATTGTGACTCCATATATTTATGACCATTATAAAAAGTGTAAGCAACCACAATTATGAAATTATATTCAAAATGCTAAATGGCTCACTTCTTTTTTTTGTATCCAAAATAAGGAATATCAAATCTAGTTTTTAAGATTTACAATTTTTATTACCATGAAGTAAAATTAAATGCCTTCTGCTTTTCACATTGGGAAATTTTGTTTGTCAAAAATAAGCAATAGTAGTCACCATCTCACTTCTGTACTGCTAAAGCTCAAACTCGGTCGAAAAATCAGATTCTCCGATTGTTGAATGTACTCTTCTACCTCCAAAATATTAACTTTGTCCAAAAAATATCTCAATGCAGGTTGACTGAATACTATAAAGAAGGTAATCACAATATTGTGAAGGTACACATTACAGGGTATTATAAGAAATACTATACCAAGCACTGTATTATATAAGGGTGCTCACCAAAGGTGCAGGGTGTTCCTCCACATGTGATCAAGTGATGTCTAGATGTCTAGATGTCTAGGAGTGTGTGCTGATGGCACTTGAGGGAGGACGTGGAAGTGTAGACTGAAAATGAATAAATAGGCGGTTTGAACAAAGGGAGCCGAGTAAGTAGGATTGTGACCTCTGTTGATTATTTTCCCAACCCAGAATGTATAGTTGTGGGTCACATACATTTCTTGAATGCTTCAGTAAGGTGGTAAATTATGCATGAACACTTGCTTGTGGAATTATTATAGTTTAATGCCACTTAAGTTTGATAATGAATGTAGACTGGTGGTATACAGATGTAGAAGTTTACATATTCTGGGCTAAAATTAATATTTTAAATATACCAAATATACACTTGTATTAAATGGAACACTGGTTTAGTATTCTACTGGGAAATTTATAGCAAAGTACAATTGTCTGTATAACTGACCAACTGTGTTTTTAGATACTCTTGAATCTTGTCTAGTGTGTGAGCATTACCACACTTCACCACGTACTGTTACCAGGACTGTGTTTAAGCACTCATGTTTTGTACATTTGATTTATTGCTAATTAAGGAATCGAGTATTTGTCACTTAACCTAGCCTTTATAAATGTTGGTGCCCATTTTATTATTTGTTAAAGTTCATTGTGATATTAAGTTAGGCAAATTTATTTTAAGTTTATGGTATGACTTATTCCTTTACACTGATGTATTAGAATTGTCACTGGTGATCTAGTTGAGAGTAAATGATTATGTAAAGTGCATGAGCTGATTATCACACATCTTGTACTTACACTTCACCAAAAAGTGTCAATAGTGGCATGATTGTTGTTTAAGTACATATTAGTCTTGACACTTTAGTAGTAGTGGGCTACAGGGCAATTGGCTACAGTTTACAAGTACAGAATGTAGAGCAGCCATGAATCACAGTGGAGGCCATTGATAATTCAGAGAACCTATTTCTAAAGTTTTGGGTAAACATCAATTCACGTTTTTAGACAGGTTTAAAAATACATATTAAATGTTGAGATTTTTTTTGTAACTGGTGAATCTGTTGGTGCCTCGGTTATCACAAAACTTAAAAAAAAAAAATTTAACAGGTCCTTGCAAATGCAGAGTTGTGTACACAATTGTGCACGACTCTCTGGCTGTGCTGCACTCATTTTTATGAAGTTAATATTTAGCATTAGAACATTGCCAAAGGATGTTAAAATGATGGTTTCTTACTTGTAAAAGGTTTGTTTTCCTTAATTTATACCATTTTCTATAGGAAAATGGTACAAATAATCACATGTATAGATTACCTGCATAATAAGGGGTCCTGGGCATGCTTCCTACAAATGGGATTATGAATATTTAGCAAGTTTCTTGCAACTAGGTCTTGGATAAAAGATAATTTGGTTCCTAGTAATTATAATCTTAGCCCTTTCAGGGTGACTTTTGGTTTTGGTTTAAAAAAATGTTCTCGTTTTTTTTAAGACTTTCCTCTCTGTTCCTTTTTCTTTCATGTCTGCTAACCTGTTGGATACTTTTGCAATATATTAACAAGTTTCATCATGTAAAACATTTTTTGTAATTGAAGGTTGTTACTTCGAGGTCCTTGACCATTGATATATCCAAAGTCTCGCACATCGTTATTGGGTGATGTATGTTGGTGGTACTGGGTCGGTGAGAGTTTTTGCATGTTCATGCTAAAACTGCATGAACATGTTTTTGCATGTTCATGCATTTTCATTTTCTTATTAACATTTTTCTGATACCTCTAAATGTCTGTACATGCTTCAAAAGCTTGACCTAATAATCATTAACTTAATCCATTTCTGCTTACCATGTCTCTCTATACTATTGTGATTTTCTGCCATTATATTCAAAGTGCAAATACAATAGTACAGCACTATACTCCTTTTCATGTCGATTGCAAATTAACATTCTGGAAGATTACAGCAACAAAAATGGCAAACATTTTGCATAAAATGTTCCTAAGAAAGTACTCATTAGAAATATTGGTTTTGCTTTATAAATAATAATTGCATGCAGGTCAAATTATATAAAATTAATGTAGGTGGCTAATAAGCTCATCATCAAATTTAACCTGTCACCACTACCCTCGCATTATCCCTCTTCATGAGGTTTGGAGGCACTCATTTTTCCCCAAGAACGAGTCCCCAGTCTACAAGGCACCACAAGGGAAGGGGGGGGGGGGGAGACATAATGGTTGCCACATCCCTATAACATTACATTTACCACCTGAAACATACATATTCAAAGGACCTTTGGCCATGGCATGGTAATGAAATGTAAAGTTTTAATTTATATTCTGGCATAACATGTGAAATGTTGTTGACCAGACCACACACTAGAAGGTGAAGGGATGACGACATTTCGGTCCGTCCTGGACCATTCTCAATCGACTTGAGAATGGTCCAGGACGGACCGAAACGTCGTCGTCCCTTCACCTTCTAGTGTGTGTTCTGGTCAACATGTACAGTCATAATTGTCATATACATTCAAATTTAGCAATTACAATTAGGCAGCAACATGCTAACACTCAAAAACACAAATATAACCCACATGCAGGAACATAAGCAGCGTACAATTTATTACATAAAAATTAACAAACCTTTTTCTGTTTTAACTTCAGCATCATTTCAGCTGCACTCATCTCGGAAACAGACATGGCAGAGGACAAGCTTCTTCCATTTGTATTTCCAGTTGACAATGAAGATACTTCCAATACAGGTATGGATTGGTTTGCCGTAGAAACAGAATCATTGTTGGCAGGAAGAGAACAGACATCACGTCCTGATGACTGCGCTGATTGTAGGGTTCCTTTTTTCTTTACCTTGAATTTGTGTCCATATTTTTCCTGTGCTGTCAGTTTTGTTTCCGTCTCTGGAGAAGAAGATTCAACATATGTGGAATCTTCATTAACATCCAACATAATTTTAGGGATCTCGGGAGTCGACTGATGATAACTGATGATTATCTCTTGCAAATCTTTATTTTCACTTTGAAGATTTGCATTTTGTTGTGGGAAGTGGTGTACAGTCTCAGTCACACTGTCACTATCACTATCAATGACATTCAATTTCCTTCTCCCTATTTTCTTGTGACGTGGACTTTCTGGTTCCCAACTACTGTCAGCCTTATCTCCAGTAGTCCTCCGAGTTTCCCCTATCGGAGATTCCTTACTCCATGACTCTAGACTATTGTCTATTATGTCATGTTCATTCTCACTATCACTCTGGCTAGCACTTGTCTGCTTTTTCCTTGCGAGTCTGTATACAGGACTCTCTAGTGCCAGAGCGACGTCGGAAATATCTGCAACAACTTTATGCGCTTTATCTTTTTTATGTTTTTGCCACATTTGAATCCGATTGCCATAAATTTCTGCATCTGAACATAATTTAGACTCGCATTCTTTAACATTTTCACCCCCTCCCCTTCCGGCCCGTTGACGTCGTGAGGGGGCTTGGTGGACGGCTGCCGGAGTGTGATGCTTCGTTGGGCAGTCCTCTGTCCTTTTCTGGCCTTGCACTCCTGCTGCTGTCTTCTCCAATTGTGCCGGATCGCTTTTCCTTTTCCTTATGTTTCGTTTTTCTCCCCCTCTTCTCCTATCTGCTTGTCGTTTCCTGCCGACCTTTTGCTTGTTTTGGATTATTTCTTTGGACTTCTTCTATTTTGACGCCCAGGTGCTTGAGGAGGCATACTCTTGCACCCGTAGAACTGTAGTACCCGACGTCTCGAGCGAGGGGAACCTTTTATTGTCAATCCCCCTTTCGTCGCTGAACCCGATCTCGACGGACTGACGGTTCTTAAGGTGGCGTTTGTGGGGCGTATTACTCACGACGCACCCCTAGGGGGCCCCGGCATGATCGGCGATAGCTTCCTGTTGGGTGTCCTGCCTCTAATTGTGGCTCCATGGTGGGTATGGGGGCACATTCGTGGATGAATTTGTCACTTTTCATCTCTGTCGTTGAATGTTTCCGTTGTACCCTCTCAGGCTCGTGGGGTGGGCGACCAAGCCCCCGAGTCGGCCTGTATTGGAAGACCTGGCTCTGTAGCTCCCGCTGCGTTGGGCCCCGACCTTGCTCC